GCGGCAGAGAGAACTTCATAAGTAGCATGCAACCGTGACAGGAGGACAGTGTCAGAGGGACCATGACAGAGCAGGCATCTCCGTGTCCTGAAAAGCTCAACCTAAGGAATATGAGACAGTCTACAACTCAAGTCTGTACCAGACAGATTTCCACGTAGATCTGAACAAGGCACATGTAACTCAGACAGGGGCACTGAGTTTTCCTAATGGCGCTCCTAGTCTGGAAGCAGAAAAGGTGCCTGTGCCACTTGCTTATACCCATCGTTTTTGCTCTGCTGAGATTATGCAAGGTAACCAACCAGTCACCTGAACAGAGGCCTATCAATGCATGCTGTGCAAGTCAGAGGATGTACCTTTAAATGTTACTAATGTGTTCTCAATGGATCTGCCATGGTAGAAGAGTTAATTCCCCCCCTCCACTGCTCCCTCAAGCCCCTCTCAGCCCCTGCGATGGGATAATTAGATGCGAGGGCTCAGCACAGATGATGCTCCAGTTGCTTAGCAACTAATGGTTTCCACGGAAATGGAAAGCACAGCCTTCAGAGCAGTAAGTGAGCAGTGCAGCAGGGCAGGGAAAGATGCCTTCAGCTCCCGCACTGATCCGCTCCTCCAGAAACACTCAGAGGCCTTGAGGTATTAGGGAATGGAAAGGGGGTGCCTTAAAGATACACGGTCCCTGTTTCAAGGCAGAATAAAAAGTAACGTGTTTTTACTGAACCCATTTGCTATGATCCCAGTGACTGCAGCTGAGCCCAGCCCTCAGTCCAGACTCCCTCGCCTGACAGCCCCCAGGCCTGGCGCTACTGCCCAGGCACATGGACCCTGCTGCACTCAGGGCCTGTGTGCAAGACCCCTGGCACCAGTGCTGTGACCCAGAGGCGGCAAAGTGAGTCTGCACCCTGAAGCACTGACTTGGCTGTTGAATGATGTCTCCTAAAGAGCCTCACGAGAGCCATCCAGCCAAAGGGGTGGCTTCTTCGAGAGTCTCTAACTCCCTAACAGAGCACAAAGTGCCGATAATGGTGCCATTCAACTGATCCTACTACCAAGAGCCAGAGCTCTGATCGATTAGCCACTGCCAAAGTCTGCCCTGGTGCTGCTGCCACCACCACCTGCCTCTGCCACTGCACAGCTCCCTGTCACTTTGCACCCTGCCAGCCCCAGAACTGCCCCCACCGTGCCACAGCCAGCCACCGTGCCACATCTCCTCACTGCAATGCTGCAGCAGTGGATGGTGCAACTGCATTGATTCAGGTTGTGATCTTGCCACCTCTCATAAGCTAGTAGGAGCCAGGCTTGGTCATTACTTAGCTCAGAGACCTCCTGGTCATTACTGAGTGATAGTGTGGAAGAAATCATGCAGAACAGATCCTAAAGGACCCCAGGCACTGTGTAAGATGCTGGGTCTTGGTCTAGTCTTCTGACCCCACCCTGACTCTACTCTGCCTCCTTAAGTGCCCAATGCATTTTCACATGGATGGATCTGACCCTTTTCTTCTCTTTCTGTCCTAAACTCTTGGTGAAGATGCTTCTTGAGGTCAAACGGCCAATATGTTACACCCCACAAGTGGCTGCAATTCAGTGACGAGTGACATCGTTCCTGCCTGTAAAAGTTTTTAAAAACTCTCAAGCTCCCTAGGCCTGTATTGATCTATATACCTTTAAATGTATGGACCTGGTGGCTGCCTATAAATATATAAGGGGCATACATCAGGATCCGGGGGAACGCCTGTTCACCAGAGTGCCCCAAGGGATGAGAAGGCCAAATGGTCACAAACTCCTCCAAGACCATTCCAGGCTGGACGTAAGGAAAAACTTCTGTACTATTCCAGGCCCTGGGGCCTTGGACAGATTCCCTCCAGAGGTGGGGCAACCACCTACTCTGGACTCTTTTAAGAAACATTTGGATGTCTATCTTGCTGGGATCCTATGACCCCAGCTGACTTCCTGCCCCTGGGGCAGGGGGCTGGACTCGATGATCTTCCAAGGTCCATTCCAGCCCGAATGTCTGTGAAATCTATGAAATTATGCAGCCCTGCCTGGCTCCCAAAACTTCCCTCAGCCCCATCCACCCCTGGCCCTTGAGTCCCAGGCGCACCAAGAGGTAATATGCAACAAGCTGCTGCGTCTCTGGCACGTTTTGCTGCACAGACTCACTATCTTTTCTCTTCCCCCCTTGAGGGAGGAGACTGACAGCATGCACTCCAGCCTCTTATCTGCTATCTCCTCTTGGCAAAAGGGATCAAAATGGAGGGCAATCTATTTCTGGATAGGGGCTGAGCTGGGAAGTGATGTATAGCTTTGGCAAGAGGCAGCAGGAGTGGAGTGGGTCCTGGAAAGCCCCTGTCTGCATCTCTTGGGCTGGCAGTGTTCGGGACTCTTACACATTCTGCTGTACATATGCCCTCGGCTAGTATCATAACTCAGTTGTTCTTACAATAAAGCTGCAGAACAAAGTGCGAGAGTTGCAAAGTTTGAAAAACAGGACAGTAATCGTCATTCACCCTTCACCATTCCCTGCTCAAGGGCATGAAAGCACTCTCCGATGGAGGTTAGACCTTACAGACTCCTTTCTGTCTGGTCACTGTGGATGAGATTAGAGCTCCATGGGCTGTTCAAGAGGCTGTCTCACATCTGTATTCACGTCAGTGGACTCAGGCATGGTCCTAGCACAGTGGGTACCCATCCCACAAGGCCGCTGGCACACTGGTCCTTTGACTGGCAGCCTGTAAGCTGGGCCAAGGGCTGAACAGCAGGAGGAAGTGTATCATTTACACAGGTCCTGGGCTTGGCACATGGGAACCTGACTGCCCTCTTGTTCCCAAAGGGTCCCTGCCACACATGCTGGGGAAGCCTGCTGCATGACTCTCCGTGCCAACCCTGCTCTGGGGATCTCCAGTCAAAGGGGTTTCTGGGGGGCTTCGGGGGAGCGGGGGCATAGCAGGCTTTCACCCACGCGTCTCTCGCTGCTTCCGAGCCTAACTGGGGCTTTTTTTCAAAAAGCCACCTATAAGTTTATTAGGGGTGACCACCAGTATGTGGGGGAACGTTTGCTCACCAGAGCGCCCCAAGGGATGACGACTAGGTCGAATGGTCACAAACTACTACAAGACCGTTTCAGGCTGGACATAGGGAAGAATTTCTTTCCTGTCCGAGCCCCCAAGGTCTGGAACAGCCTGCCGCCGGGGGTGGTTCAAGCGCCCACACTGAACACCTGCAAGGCGAAACTGGATGCTTATCTTGCTGGGATCCTATGACCCCAGCTGACTTGCTGCCCCTCCTCTGGGCAGGGGGCTGGACTCGATGATCTTCCGAGGTCCCTTCCAGCCCGAATGTCTATGAAATCTATGAAAGGGGCCAGCACTAAACTCACTGGAATCCTACTAACCAGACCAAGAGGTGTCACAGGATGCACTGCAGCTTTAAACACTCCTTTGTGCTGGCTGCCGGGACCTCTCCAGTCATTCACATTGGCTGAACATATTTAATTAGTGCTTCCTACAGCACAGTGCTCCACACAGCTGAGGTCTAATTGGTCCACTGTGGGCCAGGGCAGCCATGGGCCCAACCTTCCCAGGGCTACTCCTCCACAGAGCAGGGCTCCCCTGCTGCAGGTGTCAGTGCCCCTGATATGCAGGCAGTGCCAGCTGTGCAGCATGTCTTTGTTTTCCCAGGCCACACCTGCTCCAGGCAGCAGTTCTGGACCAGGAGGAAGGGGAGATCGTGCCCAGTGGCATAGCTAGGTCAGGGCAAGTGGGACAACTGCTGCAGGTGCCAATTTGGAGGGGGGGAGGGTAAAGACAAGCACGGCAACCAGAAATCAGTGCTGCCCCCATGCCCCAGCTGTGCCCTACACTACCGATTGCACCAGCCTTCAGATCTCACCTGGCTTAGGGGGATGCCCTAGCACATTCCAGTGCAAGCCAATTCTAATGCAGCAGTAGCAAAAGGCATTAGCACAGCTACTGGGACATAAATGGGGAAACAGGGATCTGTGGGTCTGGTAAGAAGGGTGCAGAGCTAGCAAAGATTCATTTTTCATAGATGCCCCAGCTAAGCCAGGGCAGAGGAAACACTCCTACTTTCCAGCACCTGCTTTGCTTCTGGGTTTTTGTTATTTCCTTAGTAAAATCCAATTTTCCTCCTCAGTGACACAGAAAACCCATTAGCAACAGCAAAGGGGTGGGAGTCGGGATGTGGGGTTTGCTGCAGCCATCCAAAGATGACACATGTGGCTTAAAGACAATCAGAACCATCAGAGCAAAGGCATTTAAATACAATGCCATGCCTAGCAGTCAGAGAAAGAGGCAGTTTTATGCCTTTTCTTTGGGACTTTAATTCTGCGGGTGCCCGGCACAGCCAAATACAGTGTGCACATATCCAAGTCTACAGATCCCACCCACTCCTGCTCCTCTTCTCTACAGCCTGAACTTCTGCTCTATTTCTGCACCCCACTTAGCCTCCATCTGCTAATGCCCCTCAAATCCTGACCAGCAGCCAGTCAGGGTCTCCCCTGCCAAAGCCTCTCATTCCCGACTGCAGAGTTAGGCTCTGTTAAAGCACCCCGGTGCTGATCTGAAGACCTCTTTCTAGTCCCACTGAGAGAAAGAATAAAAGACCTGAAACATAAAGATAGCTGCTAGAAAGCTGTGCCCACCCACCTATGACAGAGGCAAGAGCTAATTTCTCTGTGACCAAGGTCTCCTCCCTCTGGTCCCCATCCTGAGGTCTGCTTAACTTCGATCCGCCCTGGCTGGAGACTAGCGCTTTGGGAAGGCACCTGAGCACATTTCAAAAAAGAGAAGAAGTTGTAGAATATTTCAAATTTTCTCCCCTATTGCTTTCAAATACGGAATCAAAGGAAAATGCTGTCCTTTGTTCAGTGGGGGAGCAGCTCTAAAGGTGAGGCAAACCCAGAAGAACCAGTTGTTTGAATACTCAGCCAACTCCACTTTGAAGTGGTTTTAAAAATCTCGGAGGAGGGGCAGGGATCTGAGATTGCCTTTTTTGCTACAAGCTCACAGAGCGTAAGGACGTGGGGGTGTGAGCCGGTTCCTCCTCCACCAGAAAAATAAAGTTTCTCTGTGGAGAGAGACTCGATGCGAGGGCACGCCGCCGAGGAGCGCCAATCATTCCAGGAGCTCACGCCGCCGAGCAGCGCAGTGAAGCGGCAGCTGCCGGGCTCTCTTCAGCACACGCCACCGCACACGTCTCCCTCGCCCATCCCTTACACGTTGCTTCACCTGCGCCCACAGACCCCAGTGGAGCCGTGACACTTGCTCTTCTGTCCTCACCTTGCTCTGAAAGAATGCAAAATTTCCACTGTATATGGGATCGTAAGCACTGGGACCAGCGGGGTCCATTTCCAGCTCTGGCACAAATCTTGCTCCTGGGCCAGTCAGCTGGAAAGCAGGTAAGGCTCTGACACATATCAAGTTTTTCAAGTTTTCCACTGTGTCCTCAAGTCACGGGGAGCTGCAGCCAGTTGCAAGAGTCAGGTCTGTCTACGCCACACAAAGCAGCCATGCTTCAGCCACACCCTGGCACGAACACCAGTCACCATGACAGGACCACAGGATCTCTCCTGTTCCTGGGCTTCCCTTCTGTCTCACCTCCTTTTTCCACCTACCTCTGCTCATCTGAACACTGCCTCTAGCTGTTTCGTAGGAAGGAGCGGACCACTGTGAGCAGCCTAGCTGGAGAGCTCTGCTCATTTGTCTCACAGACCCTGGAATCACGCTCAGATCCTGGCAGCTGGCTCTGCCACCAGCCCCCTGCTGCAGCCCAGACCTCTCTGTGCCAGGAAAGGCAGGAGGTGACCTTGGGCCCAGGCACAAGATCACTGTGCAGGATCAATCCCAGTCTATGAGCTCCTCAGAGAGCCCCTGCAAGCCAGAATCAGGTTAGGAGAGAAGAGTGCTGGAGCCAGGGATCAGCTATGGCACCAGCACAGCAGCTGCAGCCTGCTCACACCACCCAGGGCAGCGGCAAACTCTGATCTGGCCCAGAGCGAGTCTGTTCTGAACCACCCTCTGGGTACGGAGCTGTCTACTGATGACACCTACGGGAGATCCCTTTTATCGCAGACGGCACAGGCCTGCGTTTTGGAGCCAGGTTCTGGTCATGATTGCTCAGGTACACGCATGCTAGTTACTGAAAGGACAAGTCTCCTGTCTGCAGTGCATGTACCCGCTCCCTGGTCACTGTGGATCACACCCCAAACCTGCAGAAATCACAAATACACAAACCCAGCAGCTCTTCCTGGGGGAGGGACAGGAAAGGGGAGGGTAAAGGGACAAGAGAGAAATAGCCCTTTCACCTGGATTGATCCAGAAACTCTGCTGCCCTGTGCACGATGCAAACAGAAGCCGCTGGAGCAGCTGGCACTGGGCCACGGTTCTCCTTACGGCACCTGCAAGCCCAAGAGAGAATTTAAGACCCTTTACTGGGTCAGACCGCAGCCTGTCTGGTCCCATATGTGGTCTCCGCAGAGTGGCTGGTGAGAAGTGCATTTCTGCAGAACCTATTTGGACAGACTTGTCCCCTGCCCCTCTTCACTTGCAGCTTCCAGTATTTAGAGACCTGGAAAGTCTTCATTTGGAGTCTGTACCTGCATCTATCATGTCTCTTACCCACTGATGCACCTGTCCTGCATGGCTTTGTCTAACCGTTGTCTGAACCTAGTGAAACCGTCAGCCTCTGCAACACCTTGTGGCAATAAGCTCCACAGTTAATTACCCCTTGTGCCAAGCAGCATGCACCAGGTGAGGCACTGAGCCCATTGCCTTGAACTTCCTCTCTCCTGGCTCCTGGGGCTGTGCAGATGCAAACTCCAGGCACAAGTGACCCAGAAGGCCAAGCACCAGGTTAGCAGGAAAGAAAACCTGGGCTCCCCTTTCCCACCCAACAGGAGTGCCCACGTCCAGGGGAGGGTGGCAAAAAGCACACAGGGGGCCACAGCCAGCCAGGGAGCTTGTGCCAGGGGACAACCTAACCAGCAGTCAGCACTTATAGTTTCATAGTAGCTAGGGTCGGGAAGGACCTGAACAGATCACCTAGCCTGACCCCCTGCCACAGGCAGGAATGGATGCTGGGTTCACAAGACCCCGGACAGATGATCACCCAACCTCCTCTTGAATTTGCCCAAGGTAGGGGCGAGGACCACTTCCCTGGGAAGTTGGTTCCAGATTTTGGCCACCCGAACTGTAAAATATTGCCTCCAGATCTCTAACCTAAACCTGTTCTCCATCAGCTTATGACCATGGTTCCTCGTCACCCCAGGTGGTGCTGGGGAGAAAAGGGCTCTGCCTATTTGCTGTTGATCCCCCACGATGAGCTTGTAGGCAGCCGCCAGGTCCCCCCTCAGCCTCCTCTTGCTGAGGCTGAACAGGTTCAGGTCCTTCAGTCTCTCCTCGTAGGGCCTGTCCTGCTGCCCTCGCACCAAGCGGGTGGCCTCCTCTGGACCCTCGCCAGGCTGGCCGCATCCCTTTTGAAGTGCGGCGCCCAGAACTGGACGCAGTACTCCACCTGCGGCCTGACCAAAGTCGCATAGAGGGGGACGATCACCTCTCTGGACCGGCTTGAGATGCACCTTTGGATGCATGACAAGGTATGGCCGGCCTTGCTGGCTGCGGTCTGGCACTGGCGGCTCACGTTCATCTTGGAGTCAACAATGACTCCGAGATCCCTTTCCGCCTCTGTGCTTTCAAGAAGGGAACTCCCCGGCCTGTGTGTATGCTGTGCATTCCTTCTCCCAAGGTGCAGCACCCTGCACTTGTCTGCGTTGAACCCCATCCTATTCTCGTCTGCCCACTTTTGTAGTCTGTCTAAAGTAGTCCGACTTCACGCTGTACCACCCAGATCCCACCTCCCTACACTACAAAGCAGCCTGCAAAACTTGCCACCTTGGGGCATCCTGATTCTGTGTAGTAATCCCTGTCCACTCTTGTCCTGTGACATCTGTTCACAAGACACCTGAAGAAGAGACAGAAATGCCCTGAAATGGCTCAGCTCCTTCCTCGCAGACCAAATGCCAAGGCCATCCTAGGGAACTGTCCCCCCAGTCTCAAGACACTGATATCACTAAGAGTCTCACAGGTCTCTCTTGTCTACATGACGCCGTTGGGGAGCTGATTAAGACCTGCTCTGTCAAACACAGACCTGGCCATGCTGGTCCACATGCTCATGTCTTTCAGTGATGGCCTCTGCAACTTGTATCTAGGACTGAAACCACATTCTTGGAAAAGCATAACTGGCGTATGATGCAGCAGTCCAACTGAGCTGTGATTGGGGAAATACTGCAACGATCCTTTGCTCTCTGAACTATGCCACATGGAACAAAGCCCAGCTGAAGGTCTCTGTCCTGCAATTCATCACCCCCACCCTGCAATCAGCCCTAGCTACTTGACAGACACATTTTCCCCCACAGTCGTGACACCCCCCCAGCAGAAACCCCACCTGGAAAATGAAATGAGACTAATGTGGGAAACTTGAAAGACAACTTTGCCAGGAGCTGGATCTATTCTTAGCCAGAGAGGAGGAAACAGAGGGTCTCACTGCTGTCAGAAACAGGGCAAGACTCGTGTCTCACTCAGCTGCCCTAGTGTAACTGGCTTAGTGTGAACACACATACCGACAGAGGTGTACAGAGGTGTGTGAGGATGCAAATACACATACCGTGGCATACACATGCATCTACACACATGCACCTGAAATCAGACACAGTCTCAGGCGACTGCTCCCACAAACAGTCATGTTTGGAATCCAAAATGCCTTTTGTCTCTTTTATTGCATTCCAGAAGCAAGAGCAGCTAGGGAGTGGCAATGCACAGGGTCACAGGACTGAAACCTGACAGAGGAATAGGACCTCACACCTGGGGCAGCCTGCGAGACACACCAGCTACTACACAAGTCTGCCCCAAGAGCACCCACAGCCTTGCTGACAGCATGGGCTCTCTGGGGCAGGGGCTGCACCTGAATCAATGCCTGGTGAGGCTAACTGCACCTCACACTGCTACGTCAGACCTTCTGCCATGGAGTGGAGACAGCAGAGGTCAGCAGGTCGAGGCTCTAAGCTTGCCTTCCGGGGCTCTGGGACTGATAGGTGCAGCCAGAGGAGCTCTTGGACCCCATTCGGCCCTGAGAGTCACAGTCCCCTAACTCCAGGGCCAGACCTCAGGAATCTGGCACACCTTTCCAACCAATGCAGGGCTCTCCCAGACAGGTGTGGGAGAGAGGTGCTACACCTGATGTGCATCTATGCACCCCAAGTCCTGGTACTCACAGTGCTCACTCTGGATCTCAACCACAGCTACTCTGCAGTCGCATGTTGTCCACCTCAGTGCTCCTAAGGAGAACGCAACCTCCCTCCTCTTACAGCTGCATTACAACCCAGGCCAGATCCCATAATCTCCTCCTTTCTCTGCAACCTGTCAAAGCTCATCCTCCGTGACATAGTTGGGTTCAGCCATTGTTCCTGCCTGCCCCTCCTACATATGCTGCTTCTACCTGCAGGGAGCAGCTGTTCAAAAAGCGGAGGGCTGCCCTGGCAAAGCATCGAAATCGCAGCTCTGCTGAAAGCCCAGGTCCCTAATGCCAGCACAGGACAAGGCAGGGGAATGTGCACCTGCTGGGAGAGGAGCCCCAGCTTGAGCCACAGGCTTGCAAAGCCTCTCTGGAATCCCTGGGGTGGGTACCCTGGGCGTGCATGTGGGAAGGGGGGCTGGCTGGTCAGACTGGTTTTCAGCAGGGCTGCTCTCATTGGCCGATTCCCAGGCAGGTGCAACTCACCTAGGAAGTGCCAGTTCAGACGATCCCAGACGGTCTGATCCAGGGCAGCATCCAGCCTGTTGCCGTCACCGCTGCGCGCTCTCCTCTGCCTTGGCAATGCAGGCGCTGGCTGTTCTGACCTTCTGCGCGTTCTTCGGGGGGACAAAAATGGCAGGTTCTCTCTCTTTTCCCTCTTCTCCCCAGACTGCTAGACCTGGAAGGTTGCCACTGGATTCTGCAGGTTGCTGAAGCTAGGACCAAGGGGTGGCCAGGACATGGGCAGGGGTGCTGCAGGGAGGACATGGGAGCAGCGGGAGAAGCATTCCTGGGTTTCAGGCTTAGTTCTGCCACTGACTCATACCCCTCATTTGCCTTCTACCTATGTTACAGGCAAGGCCCTAGCCTGACAGGGTAACTTGTTTAATACAGGGGATGGCAATATACAGCCTGTAGCCTGGATCTGGCCCACAGAGCCCTTGACTTTGTCTATGCCTGCTCCTGTTCTGGGATTAAGTAGTGGGAAACTGCACCAGGGCTGGGCAACTTCCAGATGCACCCTTGCCAGCACTGCTTCTCCCCACATGCCCTGGCTCCCATCCGGTTGGGAGCTGCACCAGGGCCTGCTCCCCCTTCCCCACCTCCCAGCTCCAGCACAGCAGCAGCAGCATGGACATAGCTCCCAGCTGCCCAGCCCTGGAGCTGCTCCCCACGGTCATGCCCCAGATAAGGAGCAAGGGGACAGGGGAAGTAGAAGCAGCATGGGTGCAGCTCCCAGGTGCCAGGCACCCCGCTCTCCCACTGCTGCTGCAGTCAGGCCAGCGGTGGAGTGTTCCAGGACGTGGCTTGGAAAGGCTGCCAGCCCGCCACTGCTTTACCAGGGCTGGGGTCCTGGGCAGGTGGTGGTGCAAAGGCTGACTGTCGTTAAGCTGAACAGGAAGCACCCACATGCTCTGGCCAGCTCGCTTGCGGACAAGGGTCTGGTGGGTGTGCTTGGAGCAGGGGCAGCCAACCTGTGGCATGGGTAGCCTCTGTGTGGTATCCAGCAGGTTGGGCAGGGAAGGGGATCAGAGTGGCACTGGGGGGGCGGGGGGGTCTATTTCATGGGACCTCTGCCAAAAAGGTTAGCCCCCACTGTCTTACTTGGCCCATCAATCCTTGCCTGGACTTGAGGGCAGGAGCCAGCATTACAGCTATCATTATTTTGAACATATTCGTAAGTGCTTAGAGGGCTGTAGGTGGCAAGACGTCCCAAAGCTGGCTCAGAAGTGTCACCTCTGTAAGGCAGAGTGGAGGGTGAGAGCCAAGACTCCTGGTCCTGTTCCTACTTCTGCTACAGCCCCACTATGCAGTTTGGGGCAGGACACAGGATCTCCTTCCCTAAGGCCACAATGGAGATATCACTATACCCAGAAGTGCTGGGGGCTAGCTGCATCTTTAACCAGCAGGCTGCCGAGGAAGAGGCGTTTTACAGGAGCTAACAGCCCCACACAGACAAGGGGCATTCCTCTGCCCTTGTGACTTCACCCCACCCAGCCCCTGGTGCTCCATATTTATGGCTGCTTGACACCTAGTTACCAGCCCTGGAACTATTCACCTGCAGGGCTCGGCTTCAGATCAAGATCAGTGCTACAGCTATTAACTGTTTGTACTCCAGTCCTAACCTCTGCAGCCAACAAGGCTCCACTTGCCTCACACAGCTTTGGGGCAAATCTCACACACCAGCAGTAACCTTTGGCTTGCAGCTCAAGGAAGCAAAGATAAAAGGACAGTGAAGGGCTAGTCACCGCAGGCACATATACAGTAAAGGGACTTTTCCTGGGAACATCCATGCTGCTTCTATACAGTGCAGGGCTGAGGGGTCCTCACCCAGTGTCACTGCCAGGGGGTCCTGTTATAGGAGCCACCTAACCTGGGTCCTTCTTGGAAAACTGTGGGGAGCAGGGCCAGGGGGAAGATAGCCTGCGACTCCCCGCTTGCTTTCAGACATGCCCAGGTGCTCGAGATCAGCTGGGGTGGGGAGGGGGGCATGCACTGGCTCTCCCAAGACCCAGCCTTCTTGCGAAAAGCTGGGTTGGTAATGACTGGCACTAACCAAATGCCTTCCTCTGTGCACCTACCAGCTCCAGGATCTCTGGCCAGCCTGAAACTCTCCCCTGCTCCAGCCATGGTTTCTGAGCTGCTCCAGCTCTGACCTTGGAGGAGCCAGCTGTAGTTGTGCCACACACAGCTTCCTGCCGCAGCCTAGCTCCTGCTGCTCTTCGAGGGCTGCCCAAGCACCTTCAGTTACTCTGCATTTCTGGTCAACACCCTTGTCAGGGACAACACTAGAAACGTATTTGAGGGAACTGATGGGGCAATAACTGCTCAGAGATGGGCCTGACCCAGGGAAAAGAGTCCAGACTAGGTCTCAAAGCTGGGAATTGGTATGGTGGGGTGTTCAATGGACGTGACTCTGGACCGCAGCATCTGAAGTCTTTCCTATGGGTGGCGGGCAAGGAACGTGGCGGAAGCCAGGCAGAGGAACCTGTGCAGAGCAGGCAGCCAGAACAATCTGGCATGAGGCACTGTAGGTTGACATCCATCCAGTTTCGTTTGCTTTCAGATTTCAACATTTCCAGCGTCTCTGGTGTCCTCTCACCAGCACTGGCCGAGAGCCTCCTAATGGCAGTGCCCCCGTGCCAATTCACCGGGGCAAATGCCAGCATCCACATCATACATCCCAATGGAACCACAGGTCAGTGAGACGCCTTCTTCCAGCAACAATACCTTGAGCCCTTCTCCCCAGACAGCCCCAGGGCCCTCGGTGCAGGGGCCATGCGGAATGAAGGTGTAGCAGCCTGGATTAGCGGTCGAAGCAGGGAGCAGGGTCAGGGTTGCTGCATTCTCGTGCAGCTCCAGGAGGGAAGAGGGCTCTAGAGGCAAGAGCAGTGGCCTCCTTACTACAAGAAACCTCAGGCCCAAGGAGGTGCGACTCCATGCCACCCTAAAACAGAATCAGGGAATGCAGGACGAGGCTCTGGGATACAGCACAACCCAGCTCAGGCAGATGCCACCTCATGCCTTTGCAATCCACAACATGTCCAATCACACGTGCAGCCTTTTCGCTCATGTGTCTGGAGATGACTCTTCCCAGGCCTGCTATAGCACTTCCTGGGTTTTAAACACTCCGCCTCTCCCCATGTCAGATGTCAGGCACTTCACTGTGCCCCTGTGCCGTGGCAGGCGTGAGCTCGTCAGCGTGGTGGACAGCACTGGGGGCTTCACTGTGACCAGACTGGATGCTTACCAGATCACAAGACTGACTCCAGGACACACATACACGTGAGTTGCCAGAACTGGCAGAGTCCAGTAAAAGCAGGCATGCCAGGGGAGAAAGGAGGCCCCCCAGCCACAGTACCACTTGTGTACGAGCGAGAACATGCAACTCAGCCCCCAAATGGGTCTCTGGCTGGCACAGCACTGCTGCCCACCTGCATGGCTGGGGTCTCGCCTACAGGCCTCCACCAGAGCTCAGAAAGTCTGCTTATGCAGAGCAGATACTGTGTGGAGTAGCTTCCTGCCAATTCAGAAAGTCCAAGGCTCAGAGAACACTCGGAAAGCCAGCTAGAGAGGTGTTGGTGGAAGCAGGTGACAGCGGTTTTCACTCCTGTTTCTTCTTCCACAGCATTTCTTACTCTGTCTTCAACAAAGACCGTTCTGTATCCAAAAGCAACAGCATTGCCATGGGCACTTTGAATAGTAAGTAATGCTGCTTTGCCTACTGTAATGACACCCACTGACTTGGTCTGGCCAAACCACGGGGCAAGGGACAAGACAGCAGCTGTCTTGAACCAGAGTTCTTCCATGTGTGGAGCACCGCCCCATCCCCCAAAGCAGGGGGGCCGCACACCTCCTCCTACTCGGATGCAGGCGTCTTACCAGGTGCATGGATTCCCTAAGTCAGGCCATGTAACAGCCTCAGATTCGACCTCTCCATTCTGTCCTGCAGCCTCAATCTTCAGCCCTGCAGAGCATGAAGATGAGGAGGGAGGGCAGCATAATGGGTCTCAGCTGAGCTGAGGTGGTGGGCATGTCTGCTCCCTCCCCCCTTGCCTCATAGGTGCCCTGGGCTCTCTCCCCCTCAGGAGTGGATTACAGAAGCATACCTGCAGACATGTCACGCAGTGGAGGAATGGTGGTGATCACAGTTCTCCTCTCCATCGCCATGTTTGTCTTGGTTGCTGGCCTCATTGCCATGCTGGCAATCACGAGATGCAAGTGAAGCAGGACTGCCTGGACATGCCGAGACAGTGGCTTCCCCTGCAGAGTCGTGCTGCCATGAGAACGCGTGAGGGTGACCCGCAAAGGAACACAGCCTGGCTGCTACCTCCTCTTTTTCTCTTTGTTTCTGTTTCTTGTGGGTAGAGATGCCTGGATAACCTTCCCTGTAAAGCATTTTCCTTCTTGTTTGTTACCTTAGAAGCTCAGGCCTTGGCTGCCCTGTTTGCTCTGGAGGCCTGGGAACGATTGGAGAATAAGCAGGATTTTAACATCTGATCCGTGTGCACATTTTGTACTGTACCGAGGTTGGAGGGCGGGTTACCAAAATAATTACACTGGTATAGTCAGCATGGCAAGAGTGGGAACACTGCATTTCAGGTGCCTTATGATGGTCAAGATCAGTACTTCTCAACCATTTTTGTACTAGAACCCATTTGTAAACATTGATGGCCAGTCCCGACCCAAAAAATAGTTTCAGTAGAAAACAGCTCCATGGGCCCTCATGCCTGACCTGCTGCCCCCACCCCCAGGCCCCAGCCCCGCAGTGTGTGGGGCAGGGGAGGCCCCCAAGCAGCCCCTTGCAGGCTGCAACTCTGCCAGCCTTCAAGGGAAAACCCACAGGCTCCCACATTTTTCTCCTCTAAAGGAGAATCCACTTTTAAAGTTTATTCGTGACCCATTCATATATTCTTGCAACCCACTTTTGAATCACGACCCGCAGGTTGAGAAATGGTGGTCCCGATGATGCCCCCCCATATGCAAGAACAAGCCATGCTGGTACAAATGCTTTTATAATCTACCCAAGCTAGCAGCTGTGCACGGTTATGGTCAGAGCAGCGTGACTTTTTACACGCAGGCACGGCCTTAGTAAGGTAAGTGTCAGGAGATTTCAGTGGGGAGGGAGGGAGGGAGGAGTTGGGAGCAGATGGGAAGGATGTGGACCCTTTCAAACTGTCGTTGTTAATCCCCCTTGATACCTTAAGGCTCCTGAAGAGGAGGCGTTTGTTAGGGGTTCAGCCCCTCCTCTCCTTCGACGCGGGCTGGACAGAGATGCTAGGTCAAACCTTTGCTGCTTCCAAAGAGTCCTTCAGTCACAAACAGGACAAACCAGCTTGCCATCCCCGAGATGCCTAACACAGAAGCCAAACAAAAATTAGGGCAAAGCCCTACAAGACTTTCAGCCCTGCTCTATGGATATTAAAAGTAGTATACATAGGGTACAAATCCATTCCTCTGTGCTGCACATGACCTTTAACGCTGTATCCTCCGTTTAAACAAAGTGCTTGGCCAGGCTGGCACTGCAAAGCTTTCCCAGCACAGCTTCAGTGGTTGGGAGGTTAGAAAAACCATTGTGCACCTTGAGTCTCACTCCCACTGGGCTCCTGCACAGACATTAGTTATTGTAGCACCTGTGCTGGCTGCAGCGTCTGGGAAGAGCTGGGAAACGCTGGACTGTTCCTCATAAGGGATGGTGGGGAAACGCTCTTTAGAGCAAGAGCTAAGCGTGATGTCTTTGCTTTCACCTCCTCTCTTATTTCTTTGGTCTAAATGCTTTCCCTTAAAGTTCATGCACATCTGATGTATTAGCGCTCATCTTCTGCAGGGGGCTCCTCTTTCTGCTGCACCCAAGGATGGCAGTCCAAAAGGCATTAAAACATGATCTTCTCTTGAAAAGAACGCCTAGCTGGTCTGCTTTTGTGCATGCTGGTAGCTGGTAAGATGCATCCTGAGCCTTCACTACAAATGAAAACCCGAAGGCGAGCCAAGTATTTGGCACTGGTTTCATAAAAGTTTGACTGGTGGCTCACTTTCAGTCACAACTTTTCTTTCTTAATCACCAAAACCAGTCAACTTAGTTTCATCACCAGGAATCTGGGTTTTCCGTTTCCCACGGAAACCCCCTGCAGATTTCCCCTTTTAACCAAGAAAAAAAATCACAGATTTTTTGTTTTAATGGAGAAACACACTGATTTTCCACTTCTACAAAGAGGTCTCTGCAGGCTGACAAAGCTCCAGCCCGCAAGGGGCCAAGAGGAGCGGGAGGAGGGCAGCCCGGAGGGCAGCTCCTGCAGGTGGTCTGGCTGGGCCGGGGCAGGGGGAATTGAGGCCTCCACAGATATGGAGGGAGGGAGTTGGGCAGGGCTGGGGCTGTTGTAGGGTGGCCATCATAGGGGACAGTCCTGTTATCCTCTATTGATGCAAAACTGGATGCCTGCATGTCCTCTATTTTTCTCTTGATGAGAGAAGAGGAGGCGGCGAGAGGCTTACTTTAGAACATGGAGAAAAGGGAGGGGAGATGAAACTGGTTAGAAACAAAGGCAGAGATTTCCTGTCTCTCACCTCAAAACCCTTTTGGCCTGCAGAGTTCTACCCAAACGCACTTGGGGGTCACAGACTGTAAAGCCCAGTGACCCATGAGCCATCCTGCATTAGAAACAGCAGTCTCAGTGCAGGACAGGATAAACCAAGTGTGTGATATACACTCCACTGCATTTAAATTCCAAGCAAAACCTTAGACTAAGTGTCAGTACAGCTTTAGGTACTTACCAAGAAGTCAGTCTAAATGGGTACACAACAAAGCCCAGGCAGTGACGCCTCCTTTTTTCTGGAGTAGACTACCTGCTCCCATTGACACTAATCCCAAGGCCCTTGGAGAGATCTTTAATAGGCATTCTGATGTGTGAACTAGGGCCCAGCCTCTCTCTCACCTGGCTCCAATGTTGCACTTTCTTTAATGAGCGACAGGCCCAAGGAGCAGAATTAGAGAGCTGTTATAAATCAGTGGGGGCCAGCGTGCTCAGCCCTGCTAACACTCTTCTGGGGCCATGGCAACAGTAGATTATAAAACAGTGTTCCTGAGTTTAAACAAAAACACATTTTGGGAAAGCCTGCATCTCAAGAGTGGCCTTGAAGACTGGGATATGGAAGAGGAGCTCAAACTTACCAACACCTGTGATCAGCTCCCCCAAGGTAAGAATTGTGAGGGAAAAGCTCCAAGTGAAAATCAGAGTCTCAGATAATTGAGAATGAATGAATAATTAACAACAAATGCTCTGAGACCTGGGAGGTCCCAAGGGGAGCTGGCAAGACCAGCCCAACAAGACAAAAATCTCTAGCGAGCGCTCCAGAAGCAGTACTGGCACACGCTGGAGCTAGCACCACTGACTGTGCCACGGCTCATCTCTAATACTGCGCTAATTAGAACAGCTTGTTTTTCAAACTCCACTTCAATCCTGAAGTTGCAATCGCAGAGCTTGGAAATGGAGCACCCCGTTTAGGGCCCCTCCCGTGCAGCCACAGTCCAGGCCTGCCTCAAGTCCTACTCCTACGATTTGCTGCTTTGGCCATTTTAATCTTAAATCTCTCTAGTGGCACGAGAACCTTGTGCCAGCCTAAACAAATTCTCGGGACTTTCAGGACCTTGGATCTTCCAATAAAAGAGCTGGAACTAGCATTCTCCTGAATACTGCGGGGACTTCTTCAGAGCCCACACCGTGGCTAAACTTTCCTCCCCAGCTCTGCATAGTTTTTTCCACAAGGGAGCATTTTCCTGCTCAGGTGCAGTGGGATCTCTCTCCTCCTGGTCTAAGATCTCCCTGTATTAACACTGCTCCCAGCCCGGTCTCTGACCAAGGCATCCCTGAAAACCACAAATGGTTTGTCAAAGTGTGGATTTGCTAGCACTGGGTCTTAGCCTGAGGCATCTCTTAGGAAACAGAAACTCTCTGGGATTCTGCTGTCCAGATCACCTTCCTTGTGCAGCTCTTTGATGGGAGCTGCTAGGATACTGAAGTGCGGTACTAAAGTTGGGAGCAATGCTCTATCATCCCAATGAAAGATCAGGCTTGCTTTGTCATCTGAGGAGCAGGCCAGTCTGGGACAGCTTTGATTTTAGCAAGCTAAGGTTTGATCTGGTGCTTCCCACCTTGTGTCCCAGATTTGACACTTCTGCCATCCCCTTTACCTTTCCTACTTCCACTGCCAGCCTGCCCTCCTTTAGATGATCCAGAACCCACTGCAAGAGTTACACGTTGCTGCTGAGTTTGGTTGAAAATACCAATGCCGTCAACATATGCAACAGCAAACCCACCCGTTCCCTTCACTAACCCACCCACCAAATGCTGAAACGTAGCTGAGGCCCACATTGTCATCTTGGGTTTGGTGCCGGAGCATAGTCCTCAGGCCCACAGCACATCCCCACTGCAGCACGGGTGCTTTGTGGTGTATAACCCAAGCCCTGGGGACCCAGCATGATGCAGAAAAAGGGCTTTCATTTCCCAATGCAAAACAGACCCAGGCTCCATCTCCAAGCTTTCACGTGGGGGGGGGGGGGGGGCGGGCAAAGGGGGACACTCGGGGGGGGGGGGCAGGGAAACGGTGTCAATGCCACCAGCTGACCACACTGCTTCTGAACCTCTGCCGTTCACCAGCTGCTGACAAGGAAGTGAACCACCACATGCTGAAATGGCAGTGTGACCAGCAGGCATGCAAGCAATCTCTCCCCAGGGAACGGTCTGATGCGCCTCCTGATGGTGAGCCAGGCCCCAGCATTATCCCGGGGGAGGGATGGAGGCAGGGGGTTTCACTTGGCCTGGTGTAGAGGCTTACCCGGCACATAGCAGCTCTCCTCTGGATGTGGGCTTCGAGGCTCGGGGGTGGCTGAGCCAATCCCATCCCTAGCACTGGGCGAGATGCCACACAGTTGGGGAGGGAAGGCGGCACAAGCGACTCAACCCTGACCCTTCTGAGGAGGACTGGCTGCCATCAGCCAGTGAGGCAGAGCAGGGATGTGGCAGAAGGGAGCTGCCTGGACACTGCTGGAAAGCTATATGCAGCGAATGGTACTTCCAGGAGAAGGGACGTTAGCAGTCTCAGGCCGAGTAAAATGTTGGGGTCAGGGTTTGAGGGGACCCAGAGCCCTGCTCCTGGGAGGCAGGAGTCCTGTCTGCTGTTGAGGCCTTTGCTGATGCTCCCAAGTTATTTGGCCTCTTTGTTCTCTGCAGAATCAAATGTGCAGCCTCATCTATGGATGTGGGTGAACCCTAATGTGGTTTGCCCCACTGCAAGACATCTGGGCACGGATGCGACAGAAGATAGGAGTCTGTCGTCCTCAACAGCTGCTGACATAAGCTTTTCATCTCCAAGCCCTTCCTTGGATTACTCCAACCTCGACTGCTCGGAGGAGGATCTGCTGTCATCAGCCAGCGAGGCAGAGAAGGTATGTGGCAGAAGGGAGCTGCCCGGATACTGTTGTAAATCTACATGCGCTAGATTTGCTGGTGTGCGTACGATGCATCCTGCACTGGCACTGAGCTGGCTCTTGCTCCGCTGTGTGAGCAGGCCCGCCGTGCCAGCAGGGTGCAGAGGACGCGCTCTGCTGGGATGAACAGGTTGGATTTACGAGTGGTGTCTGGTGCTGGAATGGAGACTGGCATCCTCCCTAGCCATACGGCAGGGGCACAGCAAGCGGCGCTTCAGCCCTGACGTGGGAGAAGGCTCATCTGCCCATTCTGTATTTAGCCTCTCGGCTGAAGCTGCCAATAAGGGGTCCCCCTTTGTGCTGCAAATTCATCCACTGGGAACTGGACAAAGATCTGCCCAATTTGTTACATACAGGCCATCGATTTGTCTCTCCCCTCACACTCCTGACCCCACCCACCCAGTTCCAATATCTCATCACCCCTTCTGCTCTTCCTCTTCCCCAAGTTTACTGAGGATGAAGATGCTGCATCTGTAGACATCCAGCTCTCTCAGAAGATGGTGGAAACTCCCAAATTCAAGGCGAACCTGGCACCCTGGAAAGCAAAGGTCTCCAGATCTCAGAGCAGGAAGCTCAAGTACACCCTGCAGGCGAAGGCCAAAACCAAGGAGATCTGGCCTCGCCCCCCCCTTAATTACTGCATCCTCATCACCCTGGCCCTGTACAACAGCGCAGAGGGCAGCCTGACTGTGCAGCAGATCTACCAGTTCACACGGTACCTGCCGCCCTCCCAACTTCTCCAGTGCTGGGATGTGGGGCTGGGGGGTCAGGGGCAGCGTTACAAAACGGTCCTGCCTTGTACTGGGAAAGGAGCAGGACCTAGAGGTCAGGACCCGCACGGAGTCAGGACTTCTGGGGTCCGTTCTCAGCTCTGCCCGTGGCTCGCTGTGCAACTTCCTCTCTGCTCTCATTAGAGAGCGAGGATGCGAGGACTTGTCAATTAAATGCCCAAGCTCAGGTATGTCCAGAGCTGCCATTTTGGTACTGCCCCCTGGAAAGAATGAATATTGCTTTTTCACTGGTCCAGCTGAACCTCCTGCTTCAGGGCACAGCCTAATTGCACAGGGATCAGGCAAGAACCTCTCCCACATTTTTTTTTTACACCCACACGACACCTGGCCATTTCATGCGTGGTGGTGGGGGTAAGAATCCTCAAGCTCCTGCTGAGCAGTCAGTTCAGCCAGCGTTTGAGCTCAGCCCTGTGCCCTTCTCCTCTCCCTGCAGGCATCACTTCCCATTCTTCCAGACAGCCCCAGATGGCTGGAAAAACACTATTCGACACAACCTGTGCTTCAGCAGGAGCTTCGAGAAAACCACCCGCTTTGTGTGCAGCGAGGGGAAGCGCAAGGCACGCCTGTGGAAGCTGACCACAGACGGGCGCAGGAAGTTTGAGGAAGAAATGCAGGCTCTACCCACGGAGGCCCTCGCCTTGGTGCACCAAAGCATGAACGAACCAGGTACAGTCCAAAGGGAGCAACTCTTGTCTGAGTGGTCCAGGCAAAAGGAGCAGTCTCTGGAGACTGTTGTGAGGGAGCTGCAGCTGGGTCACATCTATGC